TCCTTAAATGTCCCACTTTTTGCTGAAACCACCCTATACAGGCCTCATAGCCAGAAGAAAATGTTGCCGTTGTGCATTTATGCAAGCTATGGATTTGTCACATTTGTACCTTTCATATCAATGTTTCTAAAGTCACGTAGCACATGAGCTGACTTTGTCATTAGGAGGTGGAGGGGATGGTGGATGGTGTGACACACCTAGACGACACGCCTGCCAAGCTGCAGACCACTGTTTGAGACCAACAAACAACAGAAGTGGCTGTTTTCTGATGAGTCATTGCTGTGTTTCTTGGGGCTGTTTAGTGACCAAATATGGGTGTTTTTTAAGGAACCTGTAGCTGTGTTTCTTGCCGAGATCAAGCCATGAAAACTGGCTGTTTTGTACCAAGATGTTACTGTGTTTCTAGCCAGGATTGTGCCACCAAAGGCGAGTATTTTATGCCAAAACACGATCTTTTTTCCAACCATAACCAAGTGGTTTTTGTGCCTAAACATAACCACATGTTAGCAGCATTTTTAAACTGCAAAAAAAAAGGTAAAGTAAGATAAACTTTATTGTCCCAAATGGGAAATTTGTTTTAGGCACATGGTGTGACATAACTGCATAGCAGATACAACCATCATGTACAATCGAGACACGCAGTAGACAACCATGTAGTACAGCAATAACGCTGATTTGAATAACGTGATTGTACAATCAGGACTACTGTGCAAAATAAATACATCAACTTTGTCATAACAGGTAAGGCTAAAAGAATAAAAGCTCCTTAAGGTTGCATTAGCCCAGGAGATGATACTTAAAAGTGCAATAAAAACTGTAGTATAGATAGTGCAAATAAAATACAGTAGTGCAAATGAAACTGTCGCAAGGAAAACTGAAGTGCAAGTAAAAACGTGCCAAAGTGTGCAACAGGTCAGTAGTCACAATAGCAGCCCTGCTCTGCTGCTGCTTCAACATATCCACGACATAATAATGTAAAAATGAAACGTATCCTTGGTTTGCATGAATGTACAATGCCAACATTTATTCTGGCAATTGTCAATGTCAGATTTATTCTCAGTCCCTGAGACTCAAAAAGTGGAGCATCTCTCCAGTCTAACCGTTATGTCCAACATTGTGATGCCAGTTTCTTGACAGACAATAAGACGTTATGTACTTAGAGTAATCAATAATCTTAATAAAATCTTAATATATCATTTTGTCATGTGGATCACTGTACATCTAATATGTTGATCTGTTCTGTATGACATCTATTGCACATCTGTCCATCCTGGAGGAGGGATCCCTCCTCAGTTGCTCCTCCCAAGGTTGTCTCCCATTTTCTTCACCAAAGGGTTTTTTGGGATTGAGATATGTATTGTACTGACTATTTGTTGTACTCATGACTACTGTCTGTATCTCAAATTGCCCATAAGACAACATAAATACCCTACAATTGATGCGATTTCACCTTCGGTGGCATATTATACAAATCCGACTTCATAAAAAAATACGCCTGTTAAAAGTCCAAGTATGAAAGAACTCTTAACTGAAGTGTTGTGGTGTCCTGGGGGGATAGTGTAGAGCCTGTCAGCGTGTAACAGTGTAACAGGTTTGGAGACATTTGTCTGTTCCTGCATGTTTCTGCAACATTATTCATGTTAGTGTGTTAGATATTTTGCTTTGGGCTATCATTCGTCTGACTGTTCTCACAGTCAGCATTTCATTCAACATTATGAGCAAATATGGCGAGACTGTGGGTGCTGTTTGTAGATTTGGGACATTTTCACATGTGGGTGAAGATGATTTGTTGTTGAGCTGGTGCTTATAGATAGAAATTGCTTATATATAAAGAACTAATGACAAACTGCTGAAGATGTGGTGACACCCTTTATCCAGATGATTTGTACAATGAAAATGCTGACGATGAAGTAGCCTACCTAAAGAGAATGTCACATGAAAAAAAAAAAACTGTTCATCAGTTACCTGCAACAGTGTTTGAATGTGGGGATTTTTGGCCCAGTGTTTGTGTAAGAAGTCATGTGTAAATGTGCTGAAAGTCCAAGTCATGCTGCAACATCATCAGATGATATCATTGACCCACCATCCAAAGGTAAATGTGCCAGACAGAACAGTTTGCATATCAGTGCTCAAACAGTTCAACCCTCAGCCAAACATGGAGAAAGCAGGGATTGTGTAGCGTGTGTCTGGTACATGTATGCACGCGTCTGTATTTTCCTGTAGACCTGCAGCTGGTATCTGGGTGAAAGTTCAATTAGGCAGTGCCTACAGGGTTCACCCCACCTATTTGCCTTTTTGCCCGATGAGGAAATAGCTCCCACCTGTACTGGATGATAAAGCAGTCATTACAACAGTCTTTTAAAACACTGGGAAATTGCTAATAGTTGTGCAACAAAGAGGCCAAGTAAGTAGTTCATAACTGACTGGGGATGATATAATGTATGTCTCTTGTGTATTTCTGGGGTGGAAAATTCCCCATAGTGGCATAAAAACATGAGCAAAAGAGACATTGTTTTAACCAGTAAGACAAGCCCAGTGGTGTCTGTGTTTTATTAGCTTTTATTACATGATCTGACAGCCAGTAGTCACGTCACTCCTTTGATGTGCTGTGTTGGTTGAAAATTACATTTGAATATCCATTGTTTGTTCATGCTTGAGATGAATACGCCTCAAAATCCTGTGCAAACTATTGTGCCACAATAGTTCCAGATTTACATCTCTTTTCTCCACAAATAGCGTCTTGTATAAAACACAACAGAGACTTTAAAATCAGTAGTGCAATTACTGCACTCTCAAAGTATTCTGTTGTCAGATCTATTCTATATTTATTCTTTCATTCATTTTCTGTAACCACTTATCCTGTTGGGGGTTGCATGGGGGCTGGAGCCTATCCCAGCTGACACTGGACAAGAGGCGTGGTACACTTTGGACAGGTCGCCAGACTATCACAGGGCTGACACATAGAGACAGACAACCATTCACACCTATGGCCAATTTAGAGTCACCAATTAACCTGCATGTCTTTGGACTGTAGGAGGAAGATATAGTAAACCCACGCTGACACAGGGACACCATGCAAACTCTGCACAGAGGGGCTCCCCCACCTCCGGGGTTCGAACCCCCCCCCCGGGAAAGGATGACAAAAAGTCACAAAGTCACAAAACAGCCATAAGGAGACACAACATGACTGCAAAGAGATGCAAAACCTGCTCATGGATGTATTGAGAGACCTGGATATTTTTAAGCTGAAACCATTTCCCTCAGTGGAAATTAAGCTTTTATTTACTTTAATTTCACAGATAAGAAACAAACAATTTAAGTCTTGTGTGTGATTTATCCTGCCTTGATTAAAGGAGAGGAAATCTCTGCTAGTTGCTAGGCTAGTTTATACGATGTAAAATGTCATAGGCTTGTGCTAATAATGTTAGCATATTGTATTTGTTTGGAAAATGTGTTTAGTATAAAATAGTTGTTTTGTTGTGAATTTAAATGGAGCCAAGTTTTGTAACGTTACCTATGTTAAATGTTGTTGTTTTCCCTGGCTTCATATGAGTAGAGGAAATGTCTGCTAGCTGCTAGGCTAATTTATACAATGTAAAATGCTATAAGCTTGTGCTAATAACATTAGCATGTTGTATTTGTGGGGAAAATGTGTCCAGATAAAGACAAGTGCTTGTCTATGAATGCTGCGAGTTATAGTGGAGCTGATTTGTGTACTTGGGTTTGAAATTGTTGATATTAAGCCATGTATAATGTGTGTTTAATGTGTGTTTGAATCAATTAAACTTCACAGCACTTCAGTGAAACCCCGCCGTCTACCAGTGTTTTGGAAGTGTAACTGCAGAGTGACACAGACACACCACCGCACAAGTATGACGCCGGAATTCCACTGGATGCTTGTCCGTTGCGGAGCGGCTGTGCTGGTTATCAGCTGCGTGCTCCGCCGTCCATCATCATCCACCAGCTGCGTTTGCTGTGCGGAGAGGTGCAGCTCCACCGGACAGCGGGAGTCTCGAGGACCCATGAGGACCCACAAGATCTCGCGAATTCACGCATAGTCGCGCGATATAACAAGATGTAGTTTCTAAAAACAGAACCACAAAACCAGAGGAGTAGTAGGAAGACATCTCAGTGCACCTCCATGATCTCCTCGTCCATGGTGTCAACGGGGTGAAATGACGTCTGAAAACCTCTGACCTGTTGACTTCACGATGATCCGCTGTGTACACTGTGTATTTTATTTTGAAAATTAATCAGATATTTTATTTTGTTTCTGTGCACAACTTCCTGCCCCGCACGATCTGCTCCATGCTGAATTGCTGCGTTGTGCTCCGGCGTCCGACAAAAAAAGAAGTCCTGCATATCTGTTGTGGAGGGCTCCGGAGCACTGCAGCTGTGACGGAGCTGGAACGCAGCACAGCCGCAGCCGGTGGAAGCACACACATTGACTAGAATTGAAACATATCGGCTCCGCTGCCGTTCCGGAGCGCAGATGCAATCAACACGCATCTGGTGGAATGTGGGGTTTAATCCTGCTTTGGTCTTGCTCCAGTGTAGGAGAGGTGGTGGGGCCCTTTGCATATCTGTGCCCTGGGCCCCACTGTCTCATAATCCGCCCATGGCATTGAATTGAATGATAATATTAGTCTAAACTGAAATGGATGATAATCTTAGTCACATTATTCAAAGATAGCTTCATTCTGCTTTTTTGTGTTTCTACTCATTCTTAAATTGTATGTTCATTATTAAACATTGTATTGAAGCGAGGTGAATTTAATTAAACTGAATGTCAAAGGCACTACAATGACACAGGAGGAGAGAGCGAACAGGCCGGCGTTAGGACCTGGAGTGCACCTTCCTGAGGAAGAGGGCGTAGGCTCGGTCAACCGGTAGAGGAGGAAGGTGCCGAGACTGCCGAGCTGCTCTCGCACAACCGCGAGGTCCAGACAGCGGCGCGAGCGATGCGAGTCGAGGGCTGCAAGGAAACAGACTAACTGAAGAGAAACACCTCAGCAGCCGAGTATCGTCTTGTTTCAGCGGCGTGAACAGCAACACAGCACAGTGAGCATGTCGGTGCTAGCTCTGCAAGAGTACGAGTTCGAGAGACAGTTCAACGAGGACGAAGCCATCCGATGGATGCAGGAGAACTGGTAAGGCTGCTCTGCCATGTAACGTCAGCGCCACTGTTAATCCCACATTACATTTTTATGTTCCGCTGCAAAATTACACGCGGTGTGTACGTGCTGAGTGTGAATTGGAGGCTGTGACCGTGCACATGCATCAGCCTTGCACACCGGGATTAAACCTCGCCGTATCCTATTATATCAAGCTCTCTGTCATCATCCGCAAATTGCTGCTCGCGCCCCATGAAATGAACAAATTCACGCAGGCCTTCAGCCGCGTGAGGAGGCTCTGGATGCTCTGCCACAATTCAAGCCTGTCCGGGCTCATTGGACACTACACGGCATCCTGCTGCTGCATCGTGCATCTTTAACGGGCAGGATTTGTCCTTGATTTCCCGTGATTCATTCCCCCCTGGCATCAGTTACCGCGATAGTATTGTAACGTTAAAGGTCATCCATGGCTCCAGCTGCCTCATCCATTTAGACTGTTACTGGCCTGATAGCACATTTAACCAAGCCTGGCCATAGACTGGGGAAGTACATAACCCATGGTTGCCCCCTTTAGAGGTGATATTAGTGATAACAGCCAAAGTGAAACTGGTGTGCAGACATTTGTGAAGACCGCTGACATCATAGTAACATCACAGTGTTGCACAGGGGCATGAAAAGGCAACTTTCTGCACGTTATTGTAAGGTAAACTCTATGCAGAGCACTTAATATGTTTTATTCTGTATGAAAAGGTTGCAACAAATGATTATTTTCCTTATCAATTCATCTGCTAGACTATAAATATCAGGAAAAAAGACAAATTTAGCCATCACTATTGTTTCTGTTTTGTGCAACCAGCTGTCCAAAACTCTGATATTTATTATTAATGATGATATAAAACAGAAATATAGAAAATCCACACATAAAAGACACTGGAATCACAGTGATGGGTGTTTTTACTTAAAAAACAGACTGAAATCATCAAAATAGTTGTTGATTTCCTGTCAGATGACTAATCAATTAATAGATCAGCAGTCCAAAACTCTAATATATATATCTGTAATGATATAAAGCAGAGAAAATGAGAAAATCAAGCCATTAGAGACACTGGAATCAGAGTGATTGATGTTTTCGCTAAAAGTAAAGGCTGAAATCATCAAAACAGATGTTTATTTCCTGTCAAATGACTTCTTGATTAATAGATCAGCAGTCCAAAACTCAAAGATTTTCTTTTTATAATGATATAAAACAGAGAAAAGTAGAAAATCAAGCCATTAGAAACACTGGAATCAGAGTGATTGGTGTTGTTGCTTAAAATAAAGGCTGAAATCATCAAAATAGTCGTTTATTTCCTGTCAAATGATTCCTCGATTAATAGATCAGCAGTCAGAAACTGCAAGATTTTCTATATATAATGATATAAAGCAGAGAAAAGTAAAACAAATCCACGCATTTGAGATACTGGAATAAGAGCGATTGCTTAAAAAAAGACTGAAATCATCAAAACAGTTGTTGATTTCCTGTAAAATGACTCCTTGATTAATAGATCAGCAGTCTGAAACGCTAAGAGTTTTGATTTATAATGATATAAAACAGAGAAAAGTAGAAAATCAGAGACACTGGAATCAGAGTGATTGGTATTTTTGCTGAAAAAAAAAAAGCTGAAATCATCAAAGCGGTTGTTGAATTTCTGTGAAATGACTCAGATTAATAGATCAGCTGTAAAAATGAGAGAGGTCTTTGGGAAAATAAGTGATCTAGAATGCTGATTATTAATTACCAATAACTAAATACTAAACAACCTCAGACTGCGTTCTTAAAACAACAGAGGAGTGTGACTTAATTCTGATTTGCAGAGTGATGTTTGCTCAGGGCAGTGTCTGCCAGACTTAACACAAACTGCAACATTATCCTTAACTGATATTCTGCTGTGGCTGCTGGGGTGAAGTCAATATTGCTTCCTGGCTGCTGAGTGCATTGGTGCATTTCATATGTAGGTCATGTGCTGGTCTGGCCAACCATCTTTTGCATACTCACTGGAGGGTCATTACTGTCCAGGTCCGTGCCAGGTTGGGCAAAGAAATGGTCCCAAACAAAACAAAATGAGTCATGCGTTAAGTTAGCATAAGCTTCATTAAGCATGCAGTGGCAGTGGGTTTGTAAACAGCGGGCTGGCTTCCTCATCTCTTTGGACTGCTTTTAGAAAAGAGTCACATTTAGCTTATTATTTTTAACACAAATTTGGAGTGAGCGCAGCTCTTGGAGCCAGACTCAGTTTCGTTCCCATTCATTCAAAGGAAATCTGTGTGTGTGTGTGTGTGTGTGTGTGTGTGTGTGTGTGTGTGTGTGTGTGTGTGTGTGTGAGAGAGAGAGGCAGCATGGGGAGCAGTGTGTAGGAGCTGTCCATACCCTGGTACTGACAACCGACCAATGATGGTAATCTTCTGATGTCGGCTGACAGAGCATTAGCCAATCACGTTGCAGCTGATCTGTGCTGACTTCTTTCTGCTGCTCCTGTAGTGGTGGATGTCAGACTGGGCCAGTGCACATGGCTGATAGAGGCAACGACCACCACAGAAAATGGGACTTGATGGGTTGTTTATTACGTTCAAAATGTCGAGGGAGGAACTGACTAAGCATGGCATGTTTTTATGACTTAAGGGGGAGATGGAGAAAGAAAACAAACCAACAAGAATAATCTAGTTTGAAGGCAAGCGTCATGCAAAGTAGGAAAGAATGAAACAGTTGTGTGACGGTTGTTGTAGGAAACTTGTATCCAGCTGCATTTCTTTCTTTTTTTTATCATGCAGTGACTTAAAGAGACTCACACACTCTATTTTCTCTTTGTGATTCAGTTTTTGTTATATTCAAATGAGAAAAGTAAAAGCAAAATACACCTATATTTTCTGCAAATTCAGGCTGCTGTAAACAGCCTTTTGTAGTAAAAGGCAATATATTTTGTGAATGAATTTACTCATGCCGTTTACTGGCAGTCCCACCTAATACACTATGAGTTATAGCTCCCGCCCATCCCATTGTAAACACCATACATGTGCACTGATGTAGGCTGAACTTCAGGAGGTTCAAACTACAGTGATATCACAGCATGTGTTTGGTCTGCTGAAAAATGCCTGCTGTGATATCACTGACTGGGATGAGGCAAGAATACTCTGAAGTCTGAACTAGTTGCTCCCATTCAGTGTTGTAAGTGAGCAGTTGAACACACCCCCTGAAATCTGATCTAGAAACATTCAAAGCAGATGTGCAGATGGTGGCAGGATATACCATTAACATAAAAGCCCATTCGGCAGCAGTGGTTAGCATTGTCACCTCACAACAAGAGTGTTCCTGGTTTGAACCCAGGGTGGGGGAGCCCCTCTGTGCGGAGTTTGCATGTTCTCCTCCTGTCAGCATGGATTTTCCCCGGGTGCTCCGGCTTCCTCCCACAGTCCAAAGACATGCAGGTTAACTGGTGACTCTAAATTGCCCACAAGTGTGAATGCGAGTGTGAATGGTTGTCTGTCTCTATGTGTCAGCCCTGTGATAGTCTGGCGACCTGTCCAGGGTGTACCCTGCCTCTCGGCTCCAGCCCCCCTGTGACCCCTAACAGGAAAAGCAGTAATGGAAAATGAATGAATGACTTAATGAATAAAAACCAATTTGTCATCATGGAGGCAGAGCTGACCTTCAGAGGTGGAGGATCTGTGTTGATAAATGACAATCAAGACACTGTTCAGACTTCAAAGGTAAGACAAATTTATTTTATATTTAAATTTAGATGTTGCCAGAAGATTCAGTTTTTTAAGATTGCCACTGTAGTTGTTTCACATTTGTCATTAAAGTGTTTAAAAGTGGGAATGCACTACTTGTGCACTTAAAAGAGTGATTCAATTAGAGAACAATCAGATGCACAAGACTGTTTGTATTCAGGATTAGTGATGTTTGAGTGATGACTCATTTCTTCTTTCTTTCCAGATGTTTTAGCTTAAAGGATAAGTTTGGTATTTTTCTACCAGGACCCGATTTTTCCATGTTTTTGTGTCTAACTGATGAATGGGAACAACAGGTCCTGAAAGTGGTCCAGTAGTGAGAGAGAGTGGTGCAGACAGCAGCAGCGAAACAGGCTGCAGTGTAACCACTCGGGACATGCTTGCACCGTCAAAGAAAGCACGTCCACTGAAAGTTCTTGTTTTTGCCACTAACATATTCCGATTAATATTTTAAGTGTGTGACAACATTATGCAAAGGACCTTACAGAGACTGACATTTTTGTTAAAAAGCAAGATCCTTTTTGTTTAACCAGTAACAGCCCTGAAATTACTATTCACAAACCCACTAGACTTCATTTAGATAAACAGTAATTTTATTATCGGTAAGCACATTTCATTTAAATTGACAGAAACAAAACAGAACTCACAAAAAACATCTTGGTTCATCTTTCCACTGTTTAAACACTCACCAACTCTGATTTGGTTGAAATAAACCCTTAATTTACCGAGTTATAAGTGAAACTATTCTGGCTCTATACATGCTAAAATGACTGTTTATTTAAATGGAGTCTGGTGGAATTGGGAAAGGTGATTTTGGGGCAGTTTTTAGTAAAACAAAAAGGATCTTACTCTTCAACAAAATACTCTATCTCTGTAGGGATGTGTAATAATAACAGCCAGTCATCGGCAAAAACAAACACTTCTGTTGGATGTAAATTGATGGCACTACATGCCCTGGGTGGTTACATTGCACACTGTTATGCTGCTGCCAGTAGCAGCACTTTATTTCAACACTGGACCAATTTCAAAAACGTTGCTCCCGTTAGTCACCCAAAAAATATGGGGAAATGGGTCCAGGTTGGAAAACAGAATATAATAGATCTTTATTGTCCACTGTGGGTGGAAATCTGTCTTCGGCTAGAAGACAAAAATACCAAGCATACCCTTTAACGTGACAGTCTGGTCTTTAATTGCCTCACAGTGCAATAAATTCTTTGCAGTGTGTTTGCTATTTATGTGTTTATCACAGTGTTGATGATTAAATGATA